TTCAGTACCACTTTCCCCACTCCTTTGATGTCAGACGTGGCAGAATTTCCCATGAAGAGCTTTTCTCCATCCATCGTCTCGTTAAGGACATTAAATAATTCCTTGTTTGACCAAACGTGACGGGTAGCACCCGTGTCAATCCACCATTCATATGTATTTGAGCCCACCAGATTCACCTCGGATATAACTGCGGCGAGGTTCATCTCATCAACATCTTTGGCCAGATTTTCCACTATGTGGGATACTTGGGTTTTCTTTGGCAACCTGCAATCAGATGCCTTATGACCAAGTTTATTACAATTATAACAATTTCCAGAATTTTTTTTCTTAAAAATTTGTTTCCTTGGCCCCATTATTGCCTTTCCATTATTGCCAGCTTTTTTCTTATTATTTTTGTTTGAGATTTCGCCATGCTCAACAACATTAGCCTTGACAAAATGAGGATTAACCATTTTGTTGTCGTAGCACTTTTTGTCTTCTTCAATACGAAGTCTAACAACGAGCTCTTCAACGGTCATTTCATTTTTCATATGTAATAAATAATTTTTGAAATATTTCCAGCTCGGTGGTAGCTTTGCAATTATGGCAGCCACTTGGAAAGTTTCATTCAATTCCATTTCCCTCGGAATGGATATCATGAAAGATTATTTGTAGCTCTTGCACTTGACTGATTACAATCTTCGAGTCAACCATCTTGTAGTCCAAAAACCGGCCTACAAGAAATTTCTTGGCCCCAGCGTCTTCGGTTTTATATTTTTTATCCAAAGACTCCCACAACTCTTTTGCTGTTTTGATAGAACTGTACACGTTGTACAGTATATCAGCCAAGCAGTTCATCACATAATATCTACACAAGAAATCCGAGTGATTCCATGCATCAAGCGCACTAACCGCTTGAACATCTGGATTTTCCCCCAACTTTGGTGGATTTTCCGTCAAGAACCTCGCAGGGTTCAACGTAGTGAGATAAAACAACATCTTAAAATTCAAGCCATTAAATTTTCCCGGTTTATCTGCATGATTTATCGGAATAGAAAGAGAAATAGAAATTGTAGTAGCAACACTGGTATTAGCAACGCCAATAGTATTTTGTTCAACAGCCATCTTTAATCGGAATCTGTTTTAAGATTGTAGGGAACTTTATCGGGAAATTAAAAAATAAGATGGCTAGAATATATAATACCGAGGCCTGTGAGAAGTGTCCTTAAAACAGATTCACCTAGTATGAGCGTTTGTTTCCCAGGATACAACGGAAAAACCGAAACAAATTCCGCGAACTGAAACTATGCCTGGACCAAAACACTTAAAAAAATGGGAAAAAAACCTTTACTTGTGTTTTTCTTTTCTTGAGTTCGTATCTCTTTTCTTCACAAGAAGCAACCTTATATAGTCATAATACAAGGGACTTCATTAATTAAACTATATAAATCAATCTTAATAAAGTTGAGTTAAATGTAACATTAATAAAACCAAGTTACATGTTTTGAAAAGTGAAGACACGGTTTCAAATTAAATTGTTTATGTAACATAAATTTCATTCAATATTTTTCCAACAACTACTCCGTTGGTCGACTAATGTAGCACATCTGGTAATGGTGGGTGAGTTTTCCAACAATAATTTTCTACATACACAAAGACTCGAACCCAAAACTTTGCTTAAGGTACATCAAGCTGCTTACCACTTGAGCCAACTCTGTTGGTAACGATTTTGAATTTTAACAATCCAAAAAAGCATCATGGTTTCTTGAGCAATTCATAGTACGTGCGCGCATTAGTAAGTATGTACACATAGTCACATAGATATCATGAAGTACGAGTTAAAGATATACAGAAATTCTATGGAGCCATCGAATGGTTTTCTTATGGAGCCATCCATGACTTAGTGTATTGACACTTGTCCAAAGTGCATTTATTGTAGAACACGTGTCAATACCCTATTTGTGAATAACTGTGGATGGCTCCATAAACCGAGCCATGCGATGGCTCCATAGCAAAACTGTAAAGATATATTCTTGATTACATTAGTAATGAATGATTGAAAAATTGACACATACATTTTCAATTCCAATACCTAGTAAAACTAAGCTATGCTATAAGCTTATTATGGTTAATTATTTTGTCTTGTTGGTTGTCGATTTTTACCAACATAATAAAAAATGTGTAAAACATGATAGTTTTAGATTTAGAAAAATTACGCACTGGGTCTCGCAACTTGTTCTCGAGAGCGCACGGTAGTGACGCTTCTGGGCCTCGAAACCTATTCTCGAGAGCTGCGCCGCTTTGAGGGGGTCTTCTTCGCCGGGGAGTTGGTTTCGCCAGAAGCCTCGGATATGTCGTCTCTGGTGTTGGGATTGAGTGGCGGGCGTCCTTTTCTCCAGAATCTTCGTTGTGGAGGTACTCCGGCGTCCTCTCGGTTGGGGTTGCGGCCCCAATTTTCCCGACCTGGGGTTTGGGATGGAGTCGTCACCCCTCGCCAATTTTCTCCTTGGTTCTGGTGCGGGGCGGAGGAGTCGGTCGTTGATAGTGGCTGGGGCTGGGTTGTCATGCTCGAGGGCGGGTCAGTGTTATCAGTTGTTTGGTTTGGGGAGTGTTGGTCTCCGGGCGTTGGTGGCGTTGTCCAGTTGGACGAGGGTTGTGTCTGATGGTTCCCGACCCAATTAGGCGTTCTCTTGCAGTTTCTAAGTCGGGTTCAGGGGCCATGACTCTGCTATTGATGTGCTTGGTGTGGCATCCTGTTGTGGGAAGGGCAGTGTGTCCTCTTTTGTTGTTTTTTTTTTGTTAGTTTTGTTTAGTTGGTGGTTGTTTGTTGTTTTCTTTAGTTGTCGTGTTTTTTTGTTTAGATCGTTAACCTCAGAGATTTAGAAAACTGATAACTATATATCGATAGTGGTACGCAAAGGACCCTAGACCGGCTAGAATCGACCTGATTTGGAGTTTCGTCGTCGGTAGATCGCCTGTGAATTTGTAAAAGACTCACACAAGATGGATTTCCTGGTGAAGATCTTCCGATGCTTAAATGAGTATTCGTAGAAGATGAAGTGCAGAAGAATGTGTGGAGTATATGTGAGCATAATCATTAAAATCACACATCTCACTCCTATTTATAGGGGTGGGTTTCCTGCTTCTAAAAACTTGCCCAGATTGGATGAGCCGGTTGCGCAAGTTGCTCCAACTGCCGGATAGTATAGCATGCATTGTCCAAGATGTCAGAGACAGTTATAAGGTGTAAACCAATCAGGTAATGTCACGTACCCTTGTTCATGTATAACATTAATTACAGTAAGATTCCTTCTCATCCCTTAGTTTTTGGCATTAAACTACCTAATGCAACTGGCTCCAGATCTGTTAAGATAGAATATCGACTGTTCTAAGCCCAAGCGTTGTCCTTTCTGGTCAATCATACGACCAACCGTGCCTACACGTCGAGTTTCTATCATGCCATCTGAGGTCCCTAGCTCGACCTGTTGTTGATGCCCTGTATCTCTTACGTTGTTTTCCATATCGTAGGCTTTTAGTCCTGCACTAGTGACGTTCGACCACCACCAACCCTGTTGTGGTTCTGATCGAGCAACTCGACCTAGTCGACTGGTTTACCTTGTTTATTCTACCAGCGTCTGGTATCTCATATCAGATATTTTTGGAAGAATAACATGCATGTGTTTATTTTGCTCCTATGATTTTGTTGAGAAGCACTTAAATTGTCTCCTTAACTAAACTTCTTCTTCCCTTATTTATTTACAAAACCATGTAGCTTTCTTTAGAGCCTTGAAAATACATGTCAATTTTTTTAAGACATTAGTTACATGCATGAGGACATGTGTCCCAAGTCTTTTTTTTTTTCCAAGGCAAACAAACAAATATATAACTCGCAAACAAACAAATATATAACTCAAATGGAGGTTCACTACATCGACTGATCAACAGATCACTAATCAGAGGCCTATTAACCATAGTCCAATGACTCCGAGACAGAGAAAATCTGCCCCTAAAAGACCACACTGGTCAAACAAAGAAACAACAAAACAAACTTAAAAGACAAGAAATTCAACAACATTACACAAGTCACAAAGAGTCCATATTTGGATCGACACTTTTTTGGATCCCCAAGTCTTTACTAGTCTGGATCGACACTTTTCTGGCAGATCGACGCTTTTTTAGTTAGATCGGCACTTTTGTGGCATACGGGCACTTTTTTGGGAGATTAGCATGGCAGACTGACACTTTGTGGCCAAATTGTGTTTAAGTTGGTGTATGGGTGTAATTTATTATTTTGAACTTATGTGTTGTTCTTCTAGTAATTGTGGTGAAATGGACGTCAACATATGTGAAACTAAAGATTTTTAGAAAAAAGCATTTGAAATAACATAAAAGTGGAGTATTAAGAAGTACTAAAGGTCACAATTTGGTCATTTTTTCCCTTTTTCCATTTTGGGTTGGTTTGAGGTGACCAATTCATGTCACAAACAAGGTGAAAGTTTTAATATTGAACAATATTGAGCACCACAATTAGGAAACACCAACTGTAAGGAAAGACAGAGCAAAAACACAATTACAAGAAGTAGGAAATAGGGTTGTAATCAAGCCGAGCCGAGAACGAGCTTTTAACGAGCCTGACCTCGACTCGTTTATCTGATTTAAGTCTAGCTACAACACATTTTGTTTTACACCTATAAACAAAGGCATCATCACTTCCCCTGTTTTTGTAGCATTAATATTATTGCATTTATCCCACACTTCATCAAGAATAAATTGCCATCTTAATCATCATATGACAATGATAATGACAAAAAATGAACACAAGATTTTTCAAAACAAAACATATTATACTAAGACGATAATACTGTTTACATTTAAATTTTCATTAAACTTCATATAAATCCAACCATAACACAGCCCATCAAAATCCATCTAACCCTTTTCATCATAGTAATTAACTAACACTAATCCCCTTTTCATTTGACAAAGCAAAAGTCATGTGAACCCCCACAAATACAACAATTTCAGTTCTTGGGTTTCTTGCCAGAGTTTGACCCTTTGGAGGTGGCGGCGGTGCCGCCGCCAGCTGCTGCGGCCAACCTCTGCTTCAGCTGGCCGAGCAGCGCCTGATTTTCTTGGTTAAGAATCTCGGCCGTCTTCCTCAGCCGCTCGTTCTCTTGCATGATGTAGCAGTTTTCCATGTACAGCTTTGTGTTCATCTCCTCCATTTTATGTTTGTCTGAAAATAGATGAGTTGTGGTGTTTTTCTTTCTGTTTTTTGTTTTGTTATCTGTTTCTGAGGATGAGTGAAGAAGTGAATAAAAAGGGTTTAAGAGGCCGAGTATATATAGTGCAGAGAATGTGTGTGTGTGTGTGTGGGG